CCCAGTTCTAAGGTGCTAACTATGCTTATTCAGAATGGGCTGTGGGGTATAAGATAATCAGAAGGTTGGTACTCTAAAAGGGATTCATCACTCTCTGTATTCATGGTAAAAGGACACACTGGTTGTTTGGTGTAGGATATTTTGGAAGAGGGACTATTAGAAATTGAAAAACAGCTTTACTGAACTATATCATTTTTATTACTTTTAGCCTACCCTCAAAAATAGTCCAAAACCAATGCAGATTAAAATAAAGCCACCCTCAATTGGTCTTTGCAGGAAAATGGTGAATTAGGATAAGAATAGCCTTTCTCAGAAGAACTCTATAAAATCCTCAGATTCAGTGCTGAAGTAACAGATCCCAGTACAGTGAGGCCCCTGCCTTCATGCTCATTCCTGAGATAGGTCATACCCACCTCGCACCTGGTGGTTGAGGCTGGTTCTGAGCAGCCCTGAGCTTGAAACATGAGTTTAGTTAACTGCCATCACCTGCAGTGAGTCAGTGATGAGATGGGTAATGCACCAAGGAGAACGAGAGAACAGGGTACCTGCCTGAGGAACAGGGGCTGAGGTGACTGTTGGTGACAGAACTGGTACCCTTCCAAACCGTCCATCTCTCTATAGAGAACTGAACAATTATATTTGAATACAAGAAGCTGCTTCAGAAATTAGAACCACCCTTTGTTACATGTGTGGTTAAGACAATCTCACTATGTAGCCCAAGCTGGCCTCCCTACTTGGGATTATAGACATGTGTCACCACCCCTGGCTTGGTGGACAAACCTTTATGATCTCTTTCTCAGTCTGTTCATTTATGTTTTTCAACAAATACTTAGTGGGTTTTTGTTTGTTTATTTGTTTGGCTACTGGTTAGGGGTGTGTGTGTGTGTATGTGTCTGTGTGTGTCTGTGTCTGTGTGTTCAACAAATGTTTCTAATGCTTTCTATATGCTAAAAATAAACATGTCTGACTGATGCCCTCAGAAGGCTTTCAGTCTTGTAGTTGGGTTATGTATTCATTTTGGACAAAAGTCTGTCAAGGATTTTTCTCATTCTCTTGTTTGCTTGTGTCAGATGAAAAGAACACTGTAAATATTGGATGATGGAATAGAGGGAGTAAGAATTGCCTGTGGGAAAACTGAAACAGTGATTCACATTCTAGTGGGCAAACAGAGCTTGACATTTATGATAAGGGTAGAAGTTAACAGGAAGGAATAAAGATGTCCACAGATGAGACAGAAAGAGCCTTACAAATTCTATAAAGCAGACAAAATTGCCTTGGGGCTACAGATGAATGTATGTGTTCTTCTGTTTTTACCTCCTGGTTTCCGTTAGATAGATGGTGGAGACTGCTTAGATATAGTCTGTTTTTATTGACTAGCCATATAGGCTAATCAAACTGAGCCAGAAGTTCAGTCACTCACATGGCTTGCTAAAACTCAGACTGCTCAGTTCTCTAAGCAAAGTTTCTGTCTGAGCAGGTCTGGGTGGAGCCTGAGGATTTGCATGTCTAAGGAGTTCTCCAGTGTTGCAGCTACAGCAAATCCCAGGACCACACTGTGAGAACCAGCAGGTTGAGCCCACAGGCAGAGCATCCTTAAGTGCTATGCCACAAAGAAGCCTAACTAGTGCCACTTAGTTTAAATTTGTTTGTTTGTGGGCTGGAGAGTTCGCTCAGCAGTCAAGAGCACTGACTGCTCTTGCAGAGGACCCAGGTTCATTTCCCAGCACCCACAGGATGGTTGACAGCCATCTGTAACTCCAGTTCCAGAGTTCCAGTGCCTTCTGACCTCCTTGGGCATTGCACAACATGGGTGCACTTGCATACATGCAGGCAATACATTCATCTATATAAAATAAAAATAATAGAAAAATTTGTTTGCTTTTATGGTTATTATTTCATTTTTATTTGAATATAGATTTCATTTATTTTTTATTAGCAATGCCTTAAAAACAACATGATTACATTGAAAAACTTCGTTTAGATTGGAGAATTTGGAACGGGAATAAATGCCAAATTCATATTATAGCAACAGTGATTTCACAGTATTGAAGCTTGGTAGTATAGTTTTGTCATTAAATAATACCCAAAAATCATAATAGGCATATATAGAATTATGATTTTACATTCTAAAATGAAATTATATATTTTTTATTTTGAGAATTATATCAATTTAGTTATTACAGCACTTTTTTAACTTCCTGAACTATGATTTTTATTTCTTGACTTTCAATTAGTTTTTTTTACATTTTCTGTAGGACACAGGTAAAGGTACAGTGTGGCTGTAGAAAAGTAATAGAAAAATAATGGGAAACTTCTTGGTGCCTGGGAATGGGAGAGAGCCAACTTCAAAGCCTGGATGCCCAGGACCATGTGTAGAGTCAGAATCACAGCTGACCATCAAAGGAGGTGGGAGGTCCAGTCTAGAGAGTCGGTTCCCCCAAGACTAGAATCAGCAAATGACAGAAACCTTCCCTGTCCAGCGTATGCCCAACAGAGAGGCAAAGCTACTGCCGTGCACAACCAGGGACCTCAGGGGAGGCAGGAGAGGGGGCTGTAGGGAATGCAGCCACTCAGAGAAGGCTGAAAGTAATGCCCATTATCAGGAAGTCCTCCATCTTCCAATGTGTTCCACCATCAGCCCACCACCAGAAGAATGTGGAACCATGGCTCACTGTTGGGGACCACAACTCCAGGTTCACATGAGGGGACCACAACTCCAGCTCACAGGAGGGGACCCACAGTTCCAGGCACATGGTACGGGATGGGAGAGCAGGAAATCACAGCTCCTGTTTCATGGGAGGGAACCACAGCTCCAGGTTCATGAGAGGGAACCACAATTCCAACTCATAGGAGGAACCACAGCTCCAAATGGACAGGAGAGGATCACAGATCCAGCTCATAGGAGGGAAACCACAGCTCCTGCTCACTGAGGGAATCACAGGTCCAAGATCACAGAAGACAATCAGAGCTCCAGGCTCTTGGGAGACAACCACAGGTCCAAGCTCAGGAGAGTGCCACAGCCTCAAGTTCACGAGGGCAATCACAGTTTCAGGCCCAAGGAGGGATCATAATTTCAATTTTGCTGGTTCCTTCTATTTTCCTATCTCCATTGCTCAGTCCACATGATTATATTTGAGCATTTTGGCTTCTCTGCAGCAAACTGAGGCAACAGTTACTTGTTGGCTTGAATTTCTCACTAGAGAGACATAATATTGGAGAATACCACTTTTAGCTTTTGCTCAAGGAGACAGATGGGTCATGTATTTGTTTTTTTCTCATGGTCAAGGTTCCAGTTGGCTGTTGTTTGTTTGATTGGTTGGTTGGTTGGTTGGTTGGTTGGTTGGTTTTTGGTGTCTACAACTGTCATGTCTTTATTGTTGGCCAGGGGAGACAGTGATGAGACATCTTCTTACAGGAGTCACAATTTTCCGAGAGCTACCACCACTGCCATCTTGGTTCTCCAGCCATTTCTTGCTGACTTGCCAAGTCCTTTCTTCCCTGTGGCTGGCTTGTCTCCTTGGACTTGGTCTCCTGGGTGATGAAGGCCAGAGATCATGGGTGCAAGGCTCAGTGGCTGCCAGCACACCAGGCCCCAACAGGAGAGGCAAAAGGGAGCATGGTGTGGTAAGGACACCCACCACATGGCCCCATGATCCAAGAAAGGTGGCCCGGCCTGTTCCCCATCTCCTACCACTGCCTCTGCAGGGCAGGCTTATGCATCTACTTTAATTTTTTTAAACACCTGCTACTTTTGTGCTATAAAATAATGCACATGTACTGCAAAACAAATAATAAAAACTTAAGTTCATAAAGCAACCTAAGTAAAGCCAAAACCATCCACTTAAAAGATAGCTTTTGTAACCTTCCTGTGTATTCTTAGTAAATCTTTCTTGTGTATATATTTGTATTTATCATCTCTCTTCTCACTCATATAAATGTGTATATAATATTCTTTTCATAAATAAAACATTGGAATCAAATAGACTCTTGTGGCTCACACTCTTCACTTAATATTTTATAAATATCTTTCCAAGTCAATGTAGTTCTGCCGCATAATTTGGTATGGCCTATGACTAGATGAATCATGATTTATTTCAGTGTTCTCCTTTATGCAGGAGGGTGAGGTATGATCAAAATATACTGTGTGAAGGTCTCAAAGAAGCATTTTTAAATTTTAAGTGTTTCCCTTTGTTGGACATTTAGCATGCCACATGGCTAGTTCCCTGTTCAGATGACAGGTTCAGCATGAATACTGTTAAGTCTTTATAGGTGCTCTTAGCTATTTTCTAAAGACAAGTTTCCAGAATAAAAGATGTCAAGCAAGTCAGAAATGTTATGTAGAGATCTGTAAGGCACCTTAGACATACTGCCCCCCTGAGAAGCACTAGATTATTCTACATGCTCACCTACATCATTTTCTTGTCTTCATGTAACACTAAGCAAATGTGTTTTGCTTACTTGTTTGGGGAGATTCTTTGCCAATTTATCAAGGGAGTATCCTCTATGTACATTTGGAATTGTTTCAGTTGCCAGCGTAGTTGGGAGCTGCACTGCACCTACTGGCACCCACCTTCTGTCCTTCCCGGCTATGTGGATCTGGGACTTAGAATAGACCATCACCTCTTGACAGAGCAAGTCCTTTGTCTGAGGCTTCCTGTGTTTGGCATCTTGTGACATTCAGCATTTTTCTTTGTCACAACCAGATCTCAGAGTAGAACAGTTTCTGTTTTGTTATATAAAATTTGAGAAAGCAGATTTGCTATAAGAAGTATGCATTTTCTCTTTGATGGAATATGCAACCTAATTTCTCAGTATGTTGAATAACTTATTATAATTATAGCTGATCTAATTTTATTTTTGAAATCAAGCATCCACCAGGATAATAAGAAAAAATTGTCCTAGTGATGCATCTTGCTGTCTGTTTATTGAGTGAGCCTATGCTGTGGATGTGAAATGAACTGCCTTGGTGATACACTAAACTGAACTTTCTTGATACACAGGGACTATTAGGTGAAAAATACGGCAATATTCGAATCCCCGGGGAAGTTGAAGCTTCAGAGTTTGAAATGATTTTGGATGCTGCCATCGAGGCAAAACTGGAGACCAAGCTCCTGGAGGAGTGGTACTGTCGGGATGAGAACTCAGTGCCAGCTGCTTATTACCTCAGACCCAAGTCAGAGATGCTGAGAAGCAATAAACACGCAGTAAGCTTCCCTTCTCCCGCTTCTCACAGCTGTCTACAATATCCAGGGGTGGTGTTCTCCACTGAAAAGGCTTAACCAACAGAAATTCTGTCTACCTGCCCTAGCCCCTTAACATCCTTTTAACAACTACTTCCACACTAACCATCAGGAAAATAGAAATCAGAGTCACAGGGGGCTATCACCCTATCCCTGTTAGGACAGCCAATCATCTAAAAGCTAAAGGTAAGTATTGGTGAAGAGATGGAGGGAAAAAAATCATCTAGTATCCCATTAGGGCTGTAAATGGGCACAGCCACTATTGGAAGCAGTAGAGAAATTCCTCAAAAAAAATATAGATAGATAGATAGATAGATAGATAGATAGATAGATAGATAGATAGATGATAGATAGATAGATAGATAGATAGATAGATAGATAGATCAGAATTGCCTTATGATGCAGAGATACCACCTCTGAGGGTATAACCAAAGAAAATGAGATCAAGCACACTCCTGAAAAGACAGGCACACCACTACAAGTTCCATCACAGCAGTATCCACAACAGCCAAGATGGAGAAACAACCTCCATGTCAATCAACAGATAAACGAATACGAATAAAAACTACAGAGAGAGAGAGAGAGAGAGAGAGAGAGAGAAAATGTTACTTAGCCTTAAAAATAAAGAAATCCCATGATTTTCAGCAATCTGAATGAACCTGGAAGACATTTTGTTAAGCGAGGTAAGACAGACATAGGAAAACAAATACGATCCAATCTTACTTCTGTGCAAAATGTAAAGAGGCTGGAAAAGGGTAACAGGTAGAAATGGCTTTACCATGGGCAGGAGGGTTGGGGAATATTGATCAAAGAGTGAAAACATTCATTGACAGGATAAATATGTTCTGGAGACCTGGCGTGCAGCAGTGTCATTAATAATGTCTTATACGCTGGAAATTTGCTGAGATAGTAGATCTTAAGTGTTCTTATTGCAAAAACAAATACTAACTATGCAGGAGACTATGTAAACTTGGCAGGAGTAATCGTTTCACAGTGTGCATGCAGCCAAAACTTGTGCTGTGTACCTTAAAATTATTCTTCAAAAACTTGAATTCTAGCAGGGTGTGGTGGTACATGCCTTTAATCCCAGCACTCGGGAGGCAGAGGCAGGTGGATCTCTGTGAGTTCAAGTCCAGCCTGGTCTACATAGTGAGTTCCAGGACAGCTGGGGCTACAGGGAGACCCTGTCTCAAAAAGACCAAAAAAAAAACAAAAAAAAACTTGACTTCCAGGCTGAGAAACTTTCAGGTGCTTGGCTGACTTTGCCTTCTTGCATCTCTTATCCTCCCTCTAGCACGATGTTCCCTTCTTCCTAGAGTGTATTTTTTAGAAATTTCACTAGGGAAAATCTACTAGTTACAAACTCAGGATTTACCTGAAAATTATATAATTTAGTCTGTTTTTCAAACTGTGCTTGTTTACTTACTCTGATTGGCACAGGTTACACCTGTAATCTACAAATTCACACATCTTAGCCACTCTTAAAACTATTTAGTCATCATGTTATTAAATATTAGCACTCCTATTTCCTCTTGTCCTGGTTAGTTTCTGTCAACTTGACATCACCTAGAGTCAAGTAGAGAGGGGAGTCTCAGGAAGAATTGCCTCCATCAGCTTGGCCTGTGTGTTGATTGCCAATTGATATAGGGCCTGACCCACTGTGGCACTACCATTCCAAGGCAGGTGGATGTGAGCTGTATAAGAAAGCCAGCTGAGCATAAGCCAGAAAGATCAATCACTGCCTGATGTCCCTCAACGGTAGATTGTGCCCTAGAAGTGTGAGCCCAACAAATCTCCTCTCCTAAGTTGCTTTCAGTTGTGGTGTTTGTCACAGCAGCAAAAAGCAAACTAGAATACCTCGTTTCCTTTTTTGTTTCTCGGTCAGCTTTCCATTAGATGGTCTCCTATATCTCAGTTCCCTTTCACACTATCAATCCTTTTACCTTTTTGTGCTGCCTTCCAGAGGAGGACTTCAGATCTTTATTCCAATTCATTGATTTTTCTTCAGCTGGGTCCACTCTGACCATACATCAAGTTTCCAGATTCAATAGATATATTTGTGTGTGTGTGTGTGTGTGTGTGTGTGTGTGTGTGTGTGTGTGTGTGAAAGATGGAGGGGACGGTTCTTTGGTTTGGTTTTGCATTTGTTTTGGTAAATACTTTTCAAACTCTGCCTCTCTATCTTTATAATCTCTTCTTTTTACATTTTAATGTACAAAATATAATTGATAGTTCTCTTTTAAGATTTCCAACAGTTTCTGTTCTTGTGTCTTATGTAGAATCATGGAGTAAGATTTATTTATGCCTGACTATTGTTTCTTGTCCAATACGGTTCAATTACCTGTCCTTTAAACCAAATGAAGGGAAAAGAGGGGTGAAGAGTCTATTCATTATGTACAATGTTTAGAGGGATTGAAAAAGGACATATCCATTTGTCTTCCAAAGACAGCCTCCTCAATACGGCAGGTACCCAAGGCAGCTCTAAGAAGAGGAGGGCCACAGGTTAGCCTCGGGTCTTCATGTAGGACTTTGTGTATTGTCTTCTGGATATTTAACACAAAATATCCTCTCCAGGCCAGATGAAATCACATCAAAATGCTTGATTTTTCTCCCTCTTCTCCCACTGGAATTACTCAAAGTACTTAGCTATAGCGATAGTGCTTCTCTGAATAGGAATATTAAACTCAAACCATTGACCAGTTATGCATACCAGGAGTGAATGCAGACAGCACAGAATGTGAGTCCTCAGGAACCTGTCTTACAGCATGAACAAGACTCATGCAAACTCAAACCAGACAAAAAACCCAGAGTAGAACTGTGCAATGGGCACAAAGCCCCAACTTCAGCAGAGGAAATATTGGAGTTGATCACTGCTGGCTGAGGGCTGTTGGTATTCTTTAAGGAAGTGACACTAAATAGGCTGACCAGGCTCCAGTGGATGAACTCATATCAAGGGACATCTGGAGACACAAATTTGACTCTATAGGCCTTAGTATATATGACAGAATGCATGAAATCCAGTGGGGGAGACCTGGGAGTGTGGAAATCTAAATATGATTAAGTTGTATTATATGAAAATTCAATAAAAATATACGTATTGAAAAAAAGCACATATTGCTCTTCCAGAGGGCCCAAGTTCATGTAAGGAGAGTCACAACTGCCTGTAACTCCAGCTCCAAGGGAATCTAACACCTCTGTCTTCATTCACATGCACGTATCCACAAGCACACAAATAACTTTTTAAATATATTTTTTAAATACATCTCAAGGCTAGGGAGATAGCTCAGTGGGCAAACCATATGCTTGCATAGCCATGAGAACTGGAGTTGGAATCCTAGTACTCGCAGAGCCTGATATGGTAGCATGTCCGAAACCCCAGTGCTTCTATGGTGAGATAGGCAGAGACAAGAGAATCTCTGGAAAGCCTTGAAATAGTTAGCCTGAAGAACACAGGCCAATAGCAAGCAACAAAGAGACCCTGCATCATACAGAGTGGAAGGTGAGGACCCTCTGGCCTCATACAAATGCTATGATATATGCAAACGCACACGATGTGTCCATACATACATACACATACACACACATACCCACACAAAATAAAAACATCTAAAATTAGAAGATTCAATGGTATATATAAAGTTCTGGTTTAATGTTTTTTAAAAAACATTGTTTACACATTTGCTCCCATGTTATTATTTAATTGGCTTTATCTGCTTCATCTCCATTTATTTCTATGATCCTCCAGGGAAATGTAAATCATTCTCAAAACCTCAAAAGCTATCTATGCGTAAATCATTTGCAAATTGTTGAATAAATGCATGTATCAATAAAGCTTTATAAATGTTTCAAGACTATATAAATGTCTTTATTTTTAAATAATCCTTCCAGTTTTTAGCTTCTTAGCCGACCATAAAAACCAATGAAGAAGACACAACTTAAGACATACAATGGTGTATGAGCACCTCCCCCTTAAGTTTTCACTCCTCTTTGGAAGACCTTAAGAAGATGATGTTGGGGGCTGGAGAGCTTGCTCAGCAGTTAAGAGTACTGACTGCTCTGACAGAGGACCCGGGTTCAATTCCTAGCACCCACATCCACCCACACCCAGCTAACAGCCATCTGTAACTCCAATTCCATAGGATCTAATGCCCTCTTCTGACTTCTGAGGGCATTGGATAACACAGGTGCACTTACATACATGCAGGCAATACACTCATACACACAAAACATAATACATAAAATATTTAAAAATCAGGATGTTGTTATGAATATTTGTACCACAACTCAAGGTGGAAAACATGGTAAAACAACAAAGGTTTTTTTTGTCCATTTGCTGTTGCTGCAACAAAATGTATGAGTCTAATGTCTAAAGAAAAGAGATTTCTTTAGCACACAGTTTTGGGGGCAGAAAGTCCAAAGCAGGTGGCCCCTTCTGCTCAGTGTCTAACAAGGGTCCTCTTGACTATCTTGACACGGGATGGGGGCGGGGGAGGAGCTGGCACAGAAGAAATCACGCAGTGAGAGACGAAGCCAGAGAGCCTTAGAGGCTGGACCAACTCTTTTTATAACAGCCCAGTGTCTTGATAGCAGACTGGGGCCTAGTAAGAATGATAATACTATCTCCCAAGGACAGCATTCTTATGACCTGCCAGAAGGGCTCACCTCCTCACATTACCACACTGGGGACCAATCTTCTTGCACATAAATCTTGGGCAAACACACCAAACTGACAGGAACCATAGCAAAGCCCAGCAAACTAGCCCTGTCTGGGCCGTACCTTTATGAATGGGCAAGTTCACATGTAGCACTGAGGTGATTTCAATCTTCAGGGTTATTGGGGTGAGGGGGATTAAGTGAGGCACTGGAGAGACCAATATTGTACTATTAGCACATGCCAGTCTTCAAATAATGGGAATTCTCCTGCTCTTAAATACTGGCTTATCTTCCACGGTTTTTGGCCTGACTTCCTACTTCTGCCTTTCCCTAGATGCAGCCTCCTGCTAGTGCTGAAAATGAAAAGTCATGGCAAGCGATTTCAGAGGAACTCAAAGCAATATTTAAGGCTGCTGTCAAACTGCTACATGAACAGGGTAAAATGAAGCACGGCCAGGCTAAGAGGTATCTGTTCTCAGGTAATTTTCATGCATCTTCAGTAAATTAAGAAACAGATAAATAATGGAAGCATTCAGAGCTTCCCTTTAGGCCTCTATAAAGTTAATCTCATTTACTACCTGGCAGATTTAATTTTTATAAATGCTTCCGTGTCCTGGAAAGTGTCCTTTTAACTCACAGAAAAGGACTTCTCTAGTAAATGTGAACTTCTTAAAAGAAGTTCAGAGGTAGCAGGATACAAGAGCCAAGATTCTGCCATTGTTTGTCAGCTGAACTGTTCATTCTCTCTCCCAGTTACCCCCTAAATGTGTGTGGACCTACATGGTCAACTTTGAGCCAAGCTCTGGGGAGACAACAATGAATAGGGGTTTCTGTTCTCATGGGAGTTATTTTCAGTGAAGGAAATAATCATCAAGTAATGAATGGGCAAGATCTTCTCCAAAATTTAAGTAATTTGAATAAAGCGTTGTTATAAAAAAAAAAGTGGCTGGTGAAGGATGCTGGGATTCAGGGTTAGATAGGATGGGTTAAATAGATGATGTTTTTATTGTTTTTTGTGTACTTCACACAGAACAGCTCAAACAATCTTAATCATCTTTATACCCCCATCCCACTTGAGATAAAAGATGGAAGGAATCAAAGTTGGCAGTACCAGTCCATCTAAGGAAGAGAATTCCAGGCAGACACCAATTGATTCTAAATCCTCTGGAAGGATTGTGCTTAGTGTCAATGCAAAAATACAGCTTTTAAATGAAAGGAATGAGAGTTATTTTATCCTGGAGCTAAATATGAATGGCCACAGCCTGAGAGCACAGGTTCAGGTTACTCCAAATGCCATGTTCCAGTGTAGCAACAGTTTCATGAAAACAAAAGAAAGCAACAAATCAAGGCATTTTTTCAAGTATGTTGGTGGAAACATCTGGTATGCAGGTTACAGCAAAGCATGGAAATCTCCCAGACAGGTCTTAGATGCCCTCTGATAACATTCTTAGCTTGTAGGTTGGTGGAAGCTAGCAGTCTGTTTATAGCGGAGTTTCCCTGATAGTTGAAAGGCTGTTAGATCATACACAGACATGGACAAGAAATGTTTATTTGTGGAAATGATATTCCAAGGTAATGTGACTCTGTGTCTACAACATTCCAGTTCTCCACAATCACAGTTGTATCCAGTCAATCAGCCCTGTAGAATATTCAACACAGGTGAGGCTTTTATTCTGGAACCTTCAGTTCGCATTAGCCAATTCCCTGAGCAGAAAGTTGGGTTCTGGGAGGAAGACAGGAGGTCTGAAGATTATCTTAAATCCAACTGAAGAAACTTATGTTCTAGACTGGGTAAGATGGGATGCCAAGGCAGGAGGGGTTGGGCTGGAGGAAAGAGTGGGAGGATCTAATTTTACATTATAATAGTGCACATGCATGTACATACAAACACACACACACACACACGCACGCGTGCACACACTCATACACACCCTCCATCTTCTGAATATGTACTACTTTGTGGCCTTCCACAGGCAGGGAGAAGATGCTTTGTTATCAGAAACTGCAGGAAACCACTGGATTGCCAGTAAGAGTTTCCAGAAAACAAACACTGGTTGATAAAAGCCATCAGATATGCAGGATAGCATTTATTTTGAAAGTTCATAGTAAAGAATTGTTGAGGAAGAGCAATAGTAATTGCGTTTTCACACCTGCGTTTTGAATGTTGTTGCAAAAAGCACTTGATTCTCCCTCACTAAATATAAGTATTTTAAATCATTTTGAAAGTTATGAATCATTTTAATGAATTCCAGAAGAAGGTCTTATTTTAAGTCTCCTTTAAAAATACTAAACTTGGTGGGTGTTGTGGCACATGCCTTTAATCCTAGCACTCGACAGTCAGAGGCAGACTGATCTCTGTGAGTTTAAGGTCAGCCTGGTCTACCATAGCAAGTTCCAGGTCAGCCATGGCTACACAGTAAGACCTTGTCTCAAAACGAACAAACAAACAAACAAAACCCCACTAAACTTATGAGGACTGAATAGTGTCTTCAGAATATACGAGTTGACATTTATCTTTGCTCCTTTGGGATCTCTTGATCCATTTTCTGGCTCTAGCTCCTTACCTTTATCAAGGACAAAACAATCCTATTATTCTTTAAAATATGCTGGATTAGAAAAAAAAAATGTCCAAAGGAAAGTTTTCCTGTTCTTTGTGTAAAACACAACAGGCTAAGAAAGGCATCCTCTTATTTATGAGCATGTAGCCCAAGCTTTCAAGCACCCCACTGGGAAACACATTCATTCTGAAGAACTCTGAGACTGGGCTTGGTGGTACACACCTCTAATCCAACACTCAGGAGCCTGAGGCAGAAGAACTGTGAGTTCAAGGCCAGTTTGAGCTACATAGTAAAGACTCTGTATCAAAAACTATAACAAACAACACAAAACAAACAGAAAACAAATCCAATTCTGCCCAACAAGATAATCACTGGAGGAGTCATCATTTCACATAAACTACTAGAAATGGACAAGTTCTGATGGGGTTACATTTCCTAAAGATAAACATGCCCGTTGTTATTTTACTTTACCTTAATTTACATTTCAAACTCATTTTGAGATCATGTCAAATTTTGACCACAATGAAGATTTCTAGAGAAGTGCCAACTCTTTCAAATGAATGTAGTACAGTATTTAATATCTTTGGAAATCTTGAAAGTAACAATACTAAATCAAAAGCTTAAAATTTTTTTAAAAGTTTTGATCAGTTGATGTCACTTGGGAAAAAAAATCACAAGAATTCCAGAAAGTCATCATTTAGGGAAAAAAAAGGCCTCAATGTCCTGTATGTATGTATTCTCAGTTTTGCTTGACATTGGAATTGTGGCCAACTCATTAAATTTTGTTTAAATTTATGGCCAGCCCAGCCTTGTGTGTGCAGACCTTTTCTTCACCATGCCTCCATCAGCTCCCAGCAAGAAACATAGTCTCCTGCGTACGAAAGCTCCCCACTGTGTCTTTGAGCTGTGTTCTTCCTGCCACAGCTCTAGAAGACCCCACTTCCAACTAGCATCTAGAATAGGCTACACCTTACAGACTTGGAGGTGGTGAGAACAAATACTGAGCTGTTCTATGCCGATCCACACTGGCTTCATCTCACTGTATTGACTGCTTTCTCTCAAAGTTGTGTTGGAAGCAACTAGCAGCATGCATAGTACACAGCAGTTGCTCAAAAAAGGTCAGTTGGATAAAAGAAAGGAGTGAGGACTGTGGAAGGCAGGGAGGGAGGGAGGGAGGGAAAAAAGAAAAAGGGAGGCAAGAAGCAGGAGACGGATCTAACTGCAAAAGAGTATTTGTCTTAAGATTCATTTCCATTCTTTAAATAGTCACATTTTTCTTTCCTCCATTTACAACAATGCTTTTAACACCACTGATCCAATTTCAACAATTCTTATGGAGCTTCAAATGACTTATGATCTATACTTACTTTTGCATACACATATGTATTATAAACCAAAAATGGTTTAATTTAGAAGAAATTAAGTCCTACACCCTCACTTCCTGCACCTTTTCTGATACAGTGGAATTGAACAGTGGCTTGGATCATTGAGATTGATCAGCATTCAAAATGTAATTGTATTTTGTTTTACGATGTGCTTTTATATTTGAATATATCTATCTAAGGTATAAGATACCTCAAACAAAATGGTGACAACGCATTGTAAAGGATGTTCTGGCAAGGAACCATCAGCCTAGCTGTGCCACTTAGCCTCCTCCATGATTCCCAGTCTCATGTGGTCCTTGCTGTTTCTCTATTCTTAGAAGCACTAAAGTCTGAGAAACTAAACAACTTAAAAGCCGGAACCATGAACTTGTTAATCTTGCTTTATGTGGCCAATATTCAACTTCTTCTCATTAGGATTAAATTAAATGATTTTACTAAAAAATCTATTCTTCTGGGTTCCACTTGCTTAGGAAAAGATAAATATGAAGTTAAGAAATGATCTTACAGATTGTTCCACTACAAACTATAAGCAAAATTCCTACTAAAAGTGACCAAGAACTAGGTATTGGGATTGAGACATTGCTCCTTCATTCACGGCAATAAACCCTTCATAATTGTTTTCTTCCAGCCATCGAGGATGAGTTTGACTTTGCACTAGGAAAGCAAACCCCAGCATTCCTAAAGAAGTGTGTGTGTTATATCAGGAAGATTGCTAACATTGAGCGCTTTGTGAAAATCCCGGAGATGGGAAAATACATGGATATAACGGGAACAGAACCGAGGATTATCCGGGACCCTGAAGCCCAAGAGAAGCTGATGAAACTCAGGGATGAGTTCATTCCTACTGTCGTTGCATCCTCCAATCTGAGAGTATACACATCTGTTACTCATTGTGACATGAAACTGGGTTATTCTCAAGAGATAGAAAATCATTACATAGAAGGACTCGGTAAGCAATTTTATGAGGACATGATTGACATAATTCAGGCAACAGTACAACAGAATTTTGACACAGAAACTGATACACTGTATGATGAAATCCTTCAGCACTCATCGTTATGTAAAACATATGCCTCCTTCTATGAATACAAATGTGAATCTCTGAACATCTTGCACAAATACGTCCTTCCAAGCAAAACCGGGCACATCAACCCTCTGGTTGTGTATGGTGGGCCGTGCACTGGGAAGACTCTTCTGCTAGCTGAAGTAGCAAAGAAGGTAAAAAAAAAAATCTATTCTTCCCCTTCCACATTTGTAGAAACAGTGTTCTGGGGGGGGGGGCACGGGGACTAATAAATTGATCAAGTTTCTTTTCACTTGCTGTGTTTGCTATCTGAATTGAATATATACTTCTATGTTGATTGTTTGGGTTTTGTTCCTGTTTTCTTTCTTTTTTGTTTGTGTGTTTGCTTGTTTGTTTTTGTTTTTGCTGGTATAGCAGCTGTAGTCTAGAAACAAGATGTCAGGATGTGTCTGGTACAACTATAAAGCCACTTTATTTTCTCTCTTAATTCAAACTCATCCACCTCATTTGGATGAAAATAAAAACAGGTTTCTCAAAACTTGTGTCATTCCTATCAGACAACAATTGGCCTTCTAGTTGCTCTAGTCACTAAACTACTTTCAGTTCAGTAGTGAATATGCCCAGTCCAAGTAATAGTTAAAACTTTGGTATGTATTTTTCTCCATCTGAGGCCCACCACAGTCAAAGCACCTACAGAGGGAATGGAACCACGGTCATCTTCTTTGTCCATGTAATAAGTTTTCTTCCCCTCCTTTCCTAGCCCTAACCACATTTATGACCCCTACTGAGTTGGAGTGTCAGGGCTCTAGGAAAGGTAAGGTACCAGAAAGTTCTTACATGACCTGTGCTGCTATCAAGTGAACTTTGAACCCTGCTATTAATAAGTGTCCAAAGCTGCCCTCCATCTCTTCTTAGTTCTTTCCACAGCTTCCTGAAGGTTCTTTTCCTGCATGTCCCAAACTTTACCCACTGAGCATTTCTTTTCACAACTGCCTAAGTGCAGGGCAATGCATCCTTCTCTTGCTCCTGACTTCAGTCCCTCCCAAATGTTCAGTACTATGTTTCCAATGTCTTTTGAATTGCTTTCCACAGCCAAGTAAATTCCTCAGATAGGCTCTGGGACAAGGAAATTAGTAAGCCTTATCTTCTCCCTCTCACCAGTGGCTCACATTAGGTGTGTGGATACCTGGGTATCCTTTTGGCCTCAGAGCACCAGGCCCACAGATCCATTCCAGGATCGCTGTTCTGCATCACTCATCCATCAGAGCTGTCAGCCAGACTGTTGCTCAGCCTCATGTCACTCAAATGTTCAGGCACCAGAGGACTATGCCTGCATGCTTTGTAGGGTACTCTAAAGGCTCCACTGTAACCCCTTCCTCTGGGTTAGAACTGAAGGTGAGCATCACTGCCCTCGCCTTGAGGATGAGGGGATGAGAGAAGAAAACCATGGCACCTTCACATCCAACTTATTCCTCAGCCCCCCCAAACTGATTTTACAGGCTGGATATGGTTTGTGGCCTCAGAATCTCCCTTTCCAGCCCTGCAGGAGGGTTTGACACCTCACTTTAAAATCCAACACCTGTTGGCTTGCCACATCAGCCTAAACTGCACTGAACTAGATCCATTTCCAACTTATTACACTTGGTATTAAAGTGTAACAGCTTCTTGTACTCTGATGATCACTCAGAACCACTGTGTTGTTCTGTACTTACTATTCAGAGAAAGGTACTCTTAAACTTTTCAAATATTTTTAGTCTGTCATGGGCTGCACAATCTCAAATTGATCAAAATGAGGACAAAAACAGGGTCAGCTGCATTGTACTTGTTGTAGGGATTGGGTTCCAAAGCAAATTTACAGGTGAAAATTAGATATTCTATAGACACGCTATTTTGTCATGTTTTAGCTTATCTAGAATATACAACCATTTCCTTTTTTGGAGACAGGGTCTCCCTGTAGCCCCAGATGATCTGGAACTCACTATGTAGACCAGGCTGGCCTTGAACTCACAGAGATCCGCCTTCCTCTGCCTCTCAAGTGCTGGGATTAAAGCATACACCATCACGCCCGGCCCAGAATATAAAATCGTTTCTTTAATTAAGCACCAGATGAAGTAGACTTACCTTAGGAACCATGTTGGATCAAAATAAATTGTGTGTGTATGTGTTTGTACAGATGTGGAGATGTGTATGTGGGGAGAGAGGGAGGGGGAGAGACAGAGACAGAGACAGAGAGAGAAAGATTTTGAACTCTGGTTCAATTGATTCTTACACATATCTTCAAGCCTCAGGATTATTTCACATAATCAAGCCAGTGATGCTGTGAGGGGCACAGGAAAAGCATGATGGGAATTCTCTTCCTATGGAGGACAAAAGGACAAGGATGTTTGCAAGGAACAAATTTTGTTGACTTGACCTGTGGCATGTCTTCCTGTCCATGTGAGGTCAGGGATGGCCTGAGATGGGCTGCTGTGCCTGTGCAGATAAGCATCTCCACTGTGCCATGTGCTCTTGCTGAAAAGTTGAGCCACTTGCACTATAGCTGAGCCCTGGATCATTTGGAAACTTGGCTAGCCACAGTCCAGGGTTTTGCTCACGTGTTTCTAGGCCTGTCCTTGCCATTTACCTCTCCTGGGGAATGACTATCTAACCATCAGCAGCAATGTTCACTGTCTTCTGACCTTGTTTCCCTCATGAAGATACAGACGGGCATCTCATGATTGTCTACTTGGGACTCCAGCTCATAATATAGGACCACTCTCCACAGACACCACATGTACAGCAGCCTAGTCACATAAGCAATCGATGTTAGGTCAAAGCAGATGTTTGAGTTCTGATTAGGCCAGTGGACAGTTGCTGAAGGACAATATTATCTTCCTTGAAACTAGCTTCCAACAGCAAAACTAAGAACAAACCTATTTCCCATAATAGCTCATTATGAAACTGTGATCCATAAAACTTACCTAATTTTACTCATTTATTAACCTGAACTAATTCAAGGAGCTAAGCTTCCTAATATATAGAATAAATGTATGACTATATATATTAAATATAATAGAATGTACAGAGCAAGCTTTTCTTTTTCTTTTCTAAGGAGCATCTTGGTAAGTTCCTAGGATGGCTAAAAGTCTGTGTCTAGTGAAAAAAAAAAGCTTTTTGGAGGAGTGTTTTACATTTTGGTCATATTCCTTGTCAACCCTGACCTTTTAGGCAGAAGAATACTTAATTTAGCAGACCCCTATATGTTTTATCTCCTTAACTCCACAGTTGGAAGGAAAGAATGAAGGAGGGAGAGATGGAGGAAATGAGGGAGAGAGGGAGAGAGGGAGGAAGGAAGGAAGGAAGGAAGGAAGGAAGGAAGGAAGGAAGGAAGGAAGGGAAGGGAGGGAAGGAAGGAAGAGAAGGTCCTATAGAACAAAAGTCAGAGATGGCTTATTCTACTTCACTTTGTTTCTTGACCATTTGACTTGAAACAAGTCATTTATCTACCCTGAGACCCCATCACCTCTTTTATTAAATGTCACTGTCAATCCATCTGCCCTACAGAGAATGTATGAAATGACAAGTCCCTGTCTGCATAGTGAACTACTAGAAAGTACAGCAATCAACCAACCTCTTCTAACCAGGACTATGTATATTTTTAAGGTTTATTTTTATTTTTAATTATGTATATGTGTGTATGTGCACATGTGTGCAAGTACCCATAGAAGCCAGAAGAGGGGGCTAAATCTCCTGGAAATGGAATTACAGGTGGTTATGAGCTACCACTCAACATGGTGGTGGGACTCAAACTCAGGTCCTCTAGAAGAGCAGTACTCTTAACTGTGAGCCATCTTCTCTAGTCCTGAATTATGAAGATTTTTATGATAAGAATCACAGTGATTCTACAGCAACACAAAAATGCCATAGCAACACAAAAAAGTCTCTCAATTACAAAAGATTATATTCAGTATAATTCTGATGCCAAATATTTTATTATATTCTAATTAAGTGGAAATTGGTCTGCTATATCTGGCATTATATATTCTCAATTAATTAAAGCATTCAATGAATATAATCCATAAATCATTATTTAACTCAGTCATTAAACAAACACTAGGTGCACACTGTATGCCAAGAACTTCCAAGAAGTAGGGATTTAGATGAAAATTTGATCATTCTACATGTTCAGTTTTATAGGTATACGGGATACTTTGTAATTTTTAGGATACAAGCAAATGTCTCCTTATGATTGGAAAGTACTCTTATCAATGTTTTACTGCCTGTGAGTCTCACCTGTAGATCTGGCACATGAGCTTTGTGGCAGAGCTTTGGCCTTCCCATGTGGTTTTCTTCATTTCTTAGTTTGGGGGCTACTTTTTGCGTGGCCGGTGTGAGTCTGAGCTGTAGAGGGCAATGTTGTTGACTACGATTGTGAATGTGCATCACTATTCTAAATTCTGCTTACACTTTTTAGGCTTATGGCTGGCTACATGAAGATACAGGACCAGAATCTGACCCAGTAGTCATTGTGAGATTCCTAGGGACCACAGACATGTGTACTGATCTGAGGACTCTCCTTCTAAGTGTTTGTGAGCAACTGGCAGTCAACTATCGTTGTATGGTTCAAAGCTATCCTAAGAAGATCCACGACCTCTGTGATCTATTTATAAATCTGTTGAATGAATCTTCATTGCAGAGACCCCTGGTGATAATATTTGATGCCCTAGAGCAGCTCTCAGAGAACGATGAAGCCAGGAAGCTCTGGTGGCTGCCAGCTCACCTGCCCCGCTTTGTGCGGATTGTCCTCTCCACACTGCCCAACAAACACGGGATCCTGCAGAAACTAAGGTGCCTTATCCATGAAGAAGACAACTACATTGAGCTGATTCCCCGGGACAGGAAGATGTGCAGCCAGGTTCTCAAACACCAGTTGCTGAGGGTCAAGAGGAAGGTCACATCGGGCCAGCAGATTTATGTAAACAATGCATTCTCTAAGTGCACGCTGCCCATGTTTGTGAACCTGACTTTCAGGGAGGTGAGACACTGGAGATCTCACAAAGATGTGGATGAATCCTCCCTCTGTGTCACTGTTCATGAAAGTATAGAGCAATTATTCTGGTCCTTGGAGAAGAAGTGTGGTCAGAAACTGGTCTCCAGGGCTCTGGGTTACATTACCATGGCCAAAATGGGTTTGAGTGAAATGGAGTTGGAGGATGTGTTAGCCTTAGACAACAGTGTTATGAATGAGCTCAACGAGACCACCAGACCCAGCAATCCCCTGAGAGTACCTTACCTGTACATTGCAAGGCTCAAGGAGGGCCTCAACGGATACTTAATAGAAAGACACGTGAAGAATGTCACACTCTTGGTCTGGGCCAACAGACATCTGCAGCTTATAGCTCAGAAGCTGTATCTGCAGAACGACAGCAACCTGCGTGAGATGCACACCATCCTGGCAGATTATTTTCTGGGGGTGTGGTCAGGTGGCAGGAAGAAAGCCTTCTGTCTGGAAGATCCCTACTTGAATGGCTGCCTCGACTTGGAGAACAGAAGCCTGCTTGAAGAAGAAAAGCACTTCATGGAGCAGGCTTCCTTTGACAGGCAGGCTCCGGACCAGCCCTGGGTTTTCCAGTGTAATCCACTAGAGCCTGACATCTTCTTTGTCAATCACCGGAAAATGTCTGAGCTCTTGTATCACCTGACAAGGTGCGGGAAGACTGACGACCTGCTTTATGGAATCATCATGAATTTCAGCTGGCTCTATACCATGATCAAAATTGGTCAGTTTGACAAAGTGCTTGCAGACATAGAACTGGCTTACAACTACTCACAAGAAAAGGAGCTGAAGTTCCTGGCCAGCACCCTCCGCAGCATCAGGAACAAGGTCATCGCGTTTCCAGGCTCCCTTTCAGCTGAGCTTCAACAGAGGCTTCTGCCTGTTGTGAGTTCCCTGCCCAAACTGAGACACCTTCTTCTAGAATGTGACAAAGATGGACCCAAATACTGCTCCATTGTTCCTCTGCATTCATCCATGGATGTGACATACAGCCCTGAGCGTCTTCCCTTATCATCCAGTCACCTGCATGTCACGGAGATTCTGCCTACCTGTAACCCCAGCACCGTTCTCACAGCTTTAGAAAATGGCTCCATCAGCACATGGGATGTAGAAACACGCCAGCTGCTCAGGCAGATCACAACAGCCCAGTCTGTCATCCTCGGCATGAAGCTCACCAGTGATGAAAAGTACCTTGTGGTTGCTACAACGAATAACACCTTGTTAATTTATGACAATGTCAATTCCTGCCTCCTGTCTGAGGTGGAAATCAAAGGGTCCAAGCATGGAAGCAGCTCTACTTACATCAATGGATTCACACTCTCTGTCAAGCATGCCCTGGCATGGCTGGAGGCCAGCAAAGATGTCACTGTCATTGATCTGCTCTATGGTTGGCCTCTTTACCAGTTCCACTGCTGGTATGAAGTCACTTGTGTCCAGTGCTCATTGGATGGGGCATATGCTTTCTGTGGCCAGTACCTGAACACTACCACCATTTTTCACTTAGGCAGTGGAGAAAAGCTATGTACAGTGACATCAGAATTTTCAGGTGGGTTTGTGAAGTTTCTCCTCATCTTAGATGCAGCCCAGGAGATGGTCATGGTTGACAGTGAGGGAAGCCTGTCTGTTTGGAGCACAGAGGACATGTCCAACCCCCAGCTGACTGATGACTTTGACTGCCGAAAAGAAGACAGCGAGGTGGTTGGCATTGAACTTTCAGAGGACCAAAGTGCGATTCTGATCTGTAAGGCTCTCAGCATTGAGCTCTTAGACACTGGCATGTGGAAGGTGGCTGAAAAGTTCAGAGCTAAGCACAATGAACGCTTTATATCTGCCGTGCTATCCAAAAACGGAGACTGCATCATCGCGACCATGGAGAATACCGCAGCTGTGTTCTTCTGGAGACGGGACACGGGGCAGTGTATGGCAAGCTTACAGGAAGTCTCAGGTACCATCGTTAAGTTAGTGAAATCTAGCCACCACAATATGCTACTATCTTTATCAACCAGTGGTGTTCTTTCCATTTGGGACATAGATATAATCACAGCTATGTCCAACATAGATAAGACTGGAAAACCCATCCAGAGCCTGGTGTTGCCCGCCAGAGGGGAAATCATTTACTCTCTCGATGGCTCTGATTGCGTACACAAGTGGAACTTCAGCAGTGGGTTCATTGAAGCGGTATTTAAGCACGAAGGAATAGTTGAACACTGTGTGTTAACATCCGCTGGAGACGTAATGGTGACATCAGACGACAAAAGCAGCCAGTACGTCTGGCACACCAGCAGCGGGGAAAACCTCTTTCGAATTAATGGGCAGCGAATATCTCAGCTGCTGATCACACACAATGACCAGTTTGTGGTCTCTCTCTGTGAGGAAAATGCCTCAAGGGTTTGGAGACTGGCCACAGGCCACAGGGTCTGCAACATCCTGACCACTTTGCAAAATGCCTTTATTACCTCTGCAAACACCTTCGTGGTTGGAATGACTAAAAGCAAAGTGTTGGCAGTCAGCCTCTGGACTGGCAGCATCACCAAGAAATTTTGCTGTGAAGATGGGACCACCATTGTGAACTTTAAGTTGATCCCTGACTGTCCTGACATCATTGTATTTATCACATCTGCCGAGACTGTGAACATCTGGAGTCTGACCGATGAAGTGATCTGCCGTCGTGTGCAGCTCCCAAGCAACTTCTTGAAAAACCTGGAAGATTTTGAAATTTCTCCCAATGGAAAGCTGGGCATTATATCCCGGGGAGATGAAAATATCAACGTATTGGATTTACACAGTGGTAAGTTGCGGGTGGTTCATGCCTCTGGGGTCATCTGGCGGCAAAGGCTCTCTCGAGATGGTCGCTACCTGGTATACATTTGTTTCCGAAACGGGGAGGAAGAGGAAGAAAATGATGCTATATCGAGCTTGATTGTAATGAGACTGGCTGACGGCAAAAACATCGGTGCTTGTTCCCTTTACAAAACACCCACTTTTCTTGCACTGTCTCAGAGGCACCTGCACATCATCGTCGGCTTTGATGACGGGAGCATAGGGATATACACAGTTGTGGACCGTGTAGATGCTGCACTGAAAATTAAAATTGCCACTTCAAATAGCAGGCAGATTTTCAACAATGCAACACAGCCATCCAGGCCAAAGTCTAATAATTATTCCTTTAAAGTGTCTATAGATTGCTTATGGAGGGAGTCTACTGAGGTCTTTGCCAGAGACAGCCCCATCACAGTAAGTGACTCCTCAGAGTCCAACGAAGCAACACCCTCCAAGAAACACAACTCTTGTTATGACAGGGTGTGCTCGGCCCTAGAGTCCCGGGGACACAGCTACACACCAGATAACTGACAAGATGTTTATTCTGCTCAGCTGAAAAACATAATCCACATACAACAGAGAGAGGCAAAGTGTAGCTTCTGTATCACAAATGATAATCTGTTCATTTCTGAGACGATAGAAGGAGGCTGGAATTCCCGGTTTGCTAGCATGCTCATGAAACAAACTAAACTGTGAGACTTGCTCCAGTGCCATCTTTTTGCCAAGGTCTATCACAGACATAGAGAATTTCTAGAAGTGATATTTAAGTATCTATTTCACATAGAAGAAAGGGGGTAAAGGTTTTAAAATCAGCTGTGTGGTAAGACGTAGTACAATTCACTATATCTGTTTAGATGAAAGAAGCTAGTTAAACGGACCAGTTAGATTGTAATTAGTTCTACAAAGGTCAGTTAAAATCACAAGGACAAAGAGCTATGTGTCTGTGAACAGTGGTGTGACAGCAAATGCAGCCTTAATCTCTCTTTACATTTCTCAATCCTGACAACTGTGTAAACCTAGTCTGCACACAAGAGGTCTAAAGGTGCAAAATCCTATAACAAAGACGCCCAGATGTGTTTCCAGTTTCCCAGGAGACGTGACATGAAATGTGAGACTGTGAACAGACTGGGACAAGAACTATCACTCTTATAGGGCTACTGAACATTGAGAGTCAGTCTTCATTAAAATACAGTTGCAACAATTGCATGCAAGGGTTTCTGTATAATGGAACATATAATTTTTAAACTACTTTCTTGGATTGCAAAAGAACCCACTTAATAAGAAATCACAATTTTTTTCACACTTTTTTTGAGATGCATATCTGTGCTAAGTGTAAAGAAGAATTACAGAAAGGGCATTACAAATTTGGTCAAAATACCTGTTCACTTCTTTCATTGTACTAACAAGAGTCTGCTATTCAGTCAGTTGTCTGGAAGCGCAAGTTATTTCCTAAGCCCCTGCAGTATCTCTTAATAGAAAGCAAGCTTTCTGAACATGCCATCTCTGAAATACTAATGACATTGCCTTACTCTCTCCTGTGTAAAATGCAGATAAATGACCAAATACTCTGGGACAAACTGAATATGCCTGTCTTTGTGCTAAAATATTCCATAAATCTTAAAGGTGTCCAAAGGTTCTTAATGTCCCTGTTTGTAACCCTTTCTTACTTCAACACACTGTATGTATGCTCCCCATCTGTTCTACTTCCAGACTGAGGACTCTTCTGAGCCTTTTATAATCTTACCCATTTCAAAGCAGATGCTGTGAAATGGTATATTTTTTAAATACAACTTCACCTTCGCCTATTTAAAAGAAAATATCATATCCCAGAAGGTGAAAGTGATTTTCTTCATTCCGTACCCTCCGTGTAGCTCACCCCAGGATAACTTTTCAAGGGGATCAGTAGTGGTGGTTTGGTTTAATTTTCTTTGAAAGTGGCAGCGACTTAAATAAGAACAGTGAACAAGGAACTGACTTATTTTCAGTTCTGCCATCAACTCATCATGCACCGCACCGATAGCCAGGGCTTGAACATCACCAGTATTTTGTAGACTACAAAATAAAGGTGGTAATAGGTTCTGTTACAGCCCTGCAGACCTGGTGGAGATCTTAAGGAGTAACGTGAGGGGGGGAAAAGTACAGCAGCAATATTGTGATTGCTGACACAATGGAAAAAAGAAAGTGATCTAATCCATAGAGAAACCAACTCAATTTTATTTCAGTGTGGAAAGGATTTAACAGGCAAGCATACAAAGGTGTCAACTAGATATAAATACCCACTCTGTGGTGAAAGACTGCTTTCAGTGAGTTAGTTCCTCCTGGTTTAGTTGCCAGCCAGAGAAGGCTGAGATCCATATAACAATCACCTGGAGTGGACTGTATGTCAGTGCTTTTAGCTCTTCAGCCAATGTGTTCGTATTCCTGTCATTATCAGCTGGACCTCCACGACATACATTTCTAAGAATTAAATGCCTAGCTGGATTAAATGTAGTGTGTGAATGTTCTATGTAAAGTCTATAGAGTGTAACAAGTGACTTGAATGATTTTTCCTAATTCGTTTGCAACTGATAGCTCATATTGAATGTTTTTATGTAAACTTTGTATTGTTGGGAAGAATTACCCAATCAGAGATTTATATTTTCATAAATGTTCCATTTAGTTAAATTTTGTTACAGAGTTGTTACACTAGAAAATTATTTCAGTCTTCAAACAATATACAGTCTTGTGTATGTACTGTTTGTATGAATAAAAGATAAACTACTTAGAATCGAGTGTTGTTGGGTTTTCATACCCATTGTTGACCAGAAATAGAGACTTTGGATACTAATAATTATCCATACTTGCCAAGTACCATATGAGCAATAGGAGCTGTTCCTGGAGCTGCGTAGACACAAAGCCATCTAATGTTCACAACAGCCTCGGAAGTTGGTGCTATTACCAATCCATAGTCATAGATGAGAAAACCTAGAAATAAAGGCCCAGGGACAAGATTCCAATATACCATCAATGTCTTTGTAAATTTCTCAAAGCACATGAAAATAAAGAATTCAGTACCCAGTAGGCACTTGGTGAGGATGACTTCTAAGACGCTTACTATTGTGCAGGTAAGAGATTAGGCTCCTTTCTTAAAGATTCCTGGAAAATACTAAAAACTCCCAGGGTGTTTTTGTTTTGTTTTGTTTTGTTTTGTTTCCCCAGTGTACAGAAATAGTTGATGAATTCATTCTGCAAACACTTATCTGACCATGCAGTTTAGGAACACAACGGTATATAAAATAGCTCTGTGCCTTCTAGGATTTCAGCCTTAACAGGAAAATAGATTTTTAAAAAGTTCTCTGTCTGCATATGCGCAAGGACACACCACTTTCCCTTGGGGCTGGGGATGGAGCAGGGAGAGATGGTGACCAAGGAGTCTCACATATAAATTCCTAGGTAAGAAAGCAGACCAAGGAAAACCCTGCCCAGATGCCTTTTTTAAACCTCTTTGATCTGAGAATCCCCACATATACCAAGAGGAGGAGAGGAAGGGGAGGGGGAGAAGAAGAGGGAAGGGGGAGGGGGAAGAAAAGGGGAGGAAGAAGGGGAACTGGGAGGGGTAGGAGGAGTGAGGAGTGGGAGAAGAAGTAGAATTCTTTTAAACATGGTGGCATTGGAAAGCTTAACTGATGTAGGCAATAGGCAGCAATCAGGTGAAACCTTATATCTAGTTGTCAAGAAACAGTCACTCTCAAGAAAACTTAAAATACAGAGTTAAAAAAAAAACTAGGTCATTAACAGGTTTATTACCCTCACCTCTTTATGACTAAGATTAGTCTCTGTTTAAAGTTTATCACTGAAAACTACTCCATTGCTCATGCCAGGAGTTCCTTCTTGGACCTCATCAATATCTTTAGGCTGAAGGTCAACTCATCTTTCCTTTGGTTCTCACAGAAAACGTGGAGAAGTTGATCATAGAACTTCTGCATAGAAGCATTTTACATACATACATATTTTACATTACATCTCTACACATATATAAATATCTTCTTTGCTATAGTCAGAGACTGCACAAACATTACATTGAAAATTAGTCCTGCATAACTTCTGTCCAGAGTTCTACAACCAAAAAATAAAGGCATAACTAAACAAGGTTAAGACCATGCTTTCTTTTTAATATTGATATAAAATGAAAGACAGCTTCTAAGAACATACAGCACAGGATCATTTAACTCTATTTGGGAAACAAAAAGGATGAACCAGAGGAGGAGACAGCCAGAGCCTGAAAACTAAGTGGGACTTGGCTAAGGGTGCCACAAAGTAGCTGTGTGAGCAAAAACAGAGAGCTGACGTGCATTTTTGATGACTTCAAATGTCATGCTTGGAAGTTAAAATTCATTTATTAAGTTGTCAATAGGGAATAGAAAATGGGGTTTTGAGAAGAGGAATGAGCTGGTCAGAATAGTATTCTGGTCTGACTGCCTCAGGCAGCATTTAATAAAACAGATTAGAGATTGGAAGACCAGAAACTGGCAGAGTCCTAAAGACATTGGCAATGCTCTAAGATAAAAATCACAAGCACTTGGTTTTAGGGAAGTGTAGGTGAAGGTGCTAAGAGAAGGAACAATTCAAGGCTTCACTGGTAAAGACAACGAAGAGAGCAAACTGAAGCAATTTCAGTTCCAATTTAAATTACCTATACAGGTGGTAGGATTACAAATGAAAGTGGGTAGGAAATGAAAGTCATAAAACAAACCCAGGCCGAGAGAGTACAGCCAACAATTGGAAATACAGGATCCGCAGATGCTAAGGGATCCCATCCCTGATCCATACTGCATCTGGCTCCATACTGCAGTGCAATATGATGAGGGTGGGGCTGTGTTGTTACAATCAAAGCCCGATACCATCAACTGCTTAATATTTTATAGAACTATTTGACAAATATTAAGCTATAGCCACAAATTTCATTAATCAATGTCCTGGAAGGGACACAAGACTTTGTGTTTTTACTGTTTCCCCTGATGACGCTGATCCTGCTAGTCTGAAAAGTAGACAAATTCCAAGTGGGTTTTTTTTTTAATCAGAATAAGCTAACTTATTAGTAAATGTACCAGCATCCCATGGACATTTCTAAGACTGGAAATTGAACTTGAGGATTTATTGTGATAACGTTTTTTCTTCAGATCAATAAATGATGTACAACATACAATTTCCCTTATGAATCTACTGCTTTAAAGTGCACAACTATTTTAACAGTAGAAAGTTCCAAAAAACTTTTGCGTCTCCTCCCACAGAGCGTGGCGATGGCTGTCGATGCAGCCAGAGTCACTAACGCAGACACTCCGAGAAACCAAGGGTTTTCGGTCCATCTTTCAACAGCTCTCTGTCCAGTTACTTCAACATCCGGTTTCGTCCTAAGCTCACAGCGTTCTTTGAAGCAAGAAAGCTAGATGGCGCAGTTGCTTAACGCATTTTCCTGGTATGCCCCCACAATCGCTGGGGAGAGCAGGTGGAAAGAATACTCAAGCCTAAATAGAAGTTTAGGATTAAGCAACTAGTTCGTCACCTATTTTATGTAAATGAATCGCAAATACTACCAGCGCTCCACAGGTTGGAGCCCAGAGAAAGAAAAAGAAGTGGGGGGTGGGGGTGAGAACGGAGCCTGGAACCAGGGTTCTGGCACTCCTCCCACTGCAGCCCTTAGGACTCAGGCGAGTGTGGCGCTCCCTGGGGACTACGGTCCCTGCAGCGTGTCCGCTGATGGTCTGGCTATCTAGCCACAAGGCAGGCGACGACGGTGCGCGCACGCGGTCTGCGCGGCAAAAGCCCGAAGTGGCCCGAGAGCGCAAAGTGGAGACTGAGTTCCCAGGAGTGCGTTAGCCCATCCCCATCACTTAAGTGCCCTTTTTCCAGCAGCCCGACAGGAAAAGCAACTGCGCTGCTTCCGGGAACCGATCCCACCCGTGAGTGCCCCGCAGAGGCCCGGCACGGCTCCCGGGACGCGCACGCGGGCGCGCAGGTAAAGGGTTACGCGTGTTGGCTAGTCTCGGCGGCCCGCAGCCCCACGTGACTCACCCGCCCAATGACCGGGGCCGGCTGTGGCTGCGCGCACCTCGGCCTCCGGCGACGGTCACCCGTTCGTGTGTCCGCGCGGCCGCCCAGGCCCGCGAAGCCATGGACGCCGCGACCCCAGAGCCGCCGCCCGGGCGCAGGTAGGGACAGTCGGGCCCGCGCCCCGGGCTCCGCGGGGAGGAAGAGGGCTGGTCTGGGGCGTGAGCTCCGCACTGCGCTCTGGGGTCACTTTTCCTTCTAGAGTTCCTTTAGCCTGGGGGAGACGCGGAGAGGAATGGGCGAGGCAATTCCTAGTTTGATGACTTGGGAAAAAGTCAGGGAATTCAACCCAGGAGCTGGGGAGTACAGAGTCTCCAAACTGAAGACCTTTGTAGAGGCTGGAGTCTACTTGGTTGTGTAAAAAATACTTGCTTTGAGAGCCCTATTAATGAACTCTCGGCACTGCCTGGAAACTTGAATTGGATTTTAAGAGATTTCCTCATCCGTGTTCATGTCCTTGTACCCCATATTTGAGCATCTCGGTGTTCTTGTTTTGTTTTCTTTTGTTTTATGAAACGGAAAGGGAGTTTGACCGCAGCCACAGTTTGTGTCTTGGGGTGTTGAGCCCTGTGTTGCAGCCAGGGTACCTGGAAGGTCAGAGACCCAGTGCTACTCTGCAAACGGCAGGGACAAGGAGGGTGGGCACCAAGTGCTTGCGGTTAATTGGTGGCACACTGTTAAGTAATGCACAAGTAGCTCCCAGGACAGTCACTGGGTCCCATTGGCCCAAGCACCTCTGATGAAGTGACATTCATAAAACCACTAAGGTAGAATTTTCCAGTTATATGGGCTAGGTATTATGTTGGTTTTGTGTGTGTGACTCCAAGAACTGTAATTAACCTTAAAAGCAAAGCAAAATACCCTCCTCTCCAGGGACTCAGAACAGTTCATTTTCCGTTGTGGTATAGACATTTTCACCATGGATTTAGAGGAAGTAGATGTTCCACAAGGTGATCCAAGTTAAAGAAGGGGTGCTTCTTTTCTTCCTGTCAGTATTTGTGCTGGACTGTAACTGCTGGCCCTTCTCACACAGGCTTATGGATGTCTTGGGTGGTTGTAACCCAGCTATTGTGAAAAAAGAAAACCCTGTAGAGGTGAATGAGAGGGAAATGGAAACACATTTTAAAGGTCATGGATTCTAGAGTTCCTGGGGTTGTTCTCCCAAATAATCTTCCAGTTAATACTATTTTAAGAAGGATAGGATATTAACATCTAACACGGGTGTCTGAAACACCTTACTAGTCCCTTCTATAAAATTACTGCCCTGAGGCAGATCATTGGAACAATAATTTAAAACTCCAAAGGTAAATGAGAGTTCTGGGTTCTTTGTATTTCTCTCAAGTGTGAAGACTCAGGTAACAGCCAGCTCTAAGACCCACTGAGGAGAAAAAGAGGAACAGAGATACAGGAGGGAGACTTGGGGTTCATTTTTCTTTGTCATCCACTCTGTCCACCTTTTGATCCTGCTCTTTCCCTTATTCTACAGATACGTGATAAGTGCTTACCTTAGGTCCTCTGGCCCCAGGGACTCACTGGCAATGATTCTAAAGATTTTGATAATCTAATAATGTCTAAAGACAAATATGGTCCATCTTTGTTCAAAAGAAGTTTTGCACATTTGGAATTTAAGCAAAACAAAAAATTGCTTATCAACAGAACATGTTCCACTACCCTAAAAATGGAAGGATTCCCTGACTTCTGACCCAGGGCTTGCTTCTCTGAGCCTGATAACAAAGTTCTCTAAACTCTGGTCAAGAGCCAGGCTCATCCCAAGGGCTGCCTGCTTTGCTCCTAGAACTGCCTGCCCAAGGTACCCAGGAACCCATTGACTGTGCTTCTTGGAAAGGACTCTGGTTTCCTAATCATTGAATACCAACCTCCCTCCCAGGAGCTGGTTTCCTCTCCCTGAACTATGTTTCCTAATCTCCTAGTTACACAATTTCCAAGTAACCTGAATCTTTGGTTCATTGAGGTTCTTGGTTAGAGAACACATATTTTCCTTTTAAACTGGATCATTGGAATGATTATCTGGTTGCAGACAGACTCCCTAGATATCCCAAGAAAATCTGGGAAGAGTTGACTGGCCCATCTTAAGAGAAGATGGGCTTTGAGCCTTAACTCTGTGCAAGTCAGATGGGGTGTCTATTTGTAGTCTTTTTAGAGTGCCTGCTCTTAACCACTGAATCATGCTGGTCTCTAGCCAAAGGCTTTCTTACTCCAGTTATTCCCTGACTACTACTGAAGAAAATAAACTGAAAATCAAATATTTCATCTTCTCAATCAGAAATTTTCAGAAAGGTTGTAAACCATCAAAATGATCCTGTCCTAAAATATACTTTAAAGGATCAGCTGTGAATTGTGGTCTGAAGCAGATAATTAGCTCAACCTATGATTCAGTGTTGTCAGAAATCTTAGACACCCCTGATCTTCGGTGAATATTGTTGACCTAAGACAAATTTCACCATGGGCTGTGAGTATTGAGTGTACCAGTGACTCTGGAGCAGATGAACCTGGCCTTAGAGACTGCATGTGTGTGGACCCAGTGGACCCAAGCAGTTGACGGGGTGCTGGGGACACAGCTGCAGTCTGGAGGATCTGGTCTTAGATGAAGGCTTTGAAAGGTATGAAGCAGAGTATTTCTGTTCTAGAAAGTTTCCTCTGGCTTCAGTGAGACAGCTGGAATAGACGAGCCTATAAACATGGTCTAAGGAAGCTGCTGTACAAATTTACACCCGAGGAGAGGGAGAAGTGAATCAATTCAGAAGGTGTTTAGGAAAGCAGTGGTATTTAGAATCTTATTAAATTATTGAGTGACTCCAATTGATGTTAATTTGCATATCATTTTAAAAATTTGTTTTCTTCCAGGTTGGCAAACATAGCCACACTTTGGTGCAAGAGTCTTCCTGTCAGTACAGTTATGCCTGGCCACACAGTTTGTTTCTATCACAGAAAAAAAAAAAACTTTTTCATAAAAGAATGAGACAATTAGATTCACATTTTTAGCAATTTAATATTTCTTTATGTAGACTTTAAAGTATTAAGACAAAGTTAAGATAAATTCTTGACTTCATATGTAAATTCTTTGATCTACCGTAACTTCTCCTGGGAGTAAAAGTACTCTGACTTTTGATTGTTGATATTTAAGTGGACAGAAGAACAATCTCCCTGAACCCCAGGTTAGCCTAAACATGGCCTGCTGTATGGCACAAGGACTTAGGTTGTTTGTAGGAGTATTTATGGTCTGTGAAAAGCCCATAATAAAGGTGGAAAGTCGCCTGTGGTAGTTGACATACAACCGTAAGCATTGTGTATTTTGGCACATTTTTTTAGGTTTTTAAGTCATTACTCATTAGCCCCAAAGAAGATCACTGCACAAAAGAATTTGAAATTTCTTTTAATTTTGTTTCCCCCTATTTGATATTGGGTACCTAAATTGGGCATTTATAAACAGTAAGTGCAAGGTTTGGGTTTCAAGCTCTAAAACAGTACCTCTCTCATTTAATGATGGGAATTGACAGCAAGCTCCTCCTCCAGAATGTGCTGCAACCCAGAGATGAATGAAAAACTGACTTTCACTGGTAAACCATTGTCATTATATGACATTTTTTCTTATCTGATTCCTAATGAGTTCCTAGTCCATAGTGAGACCCACCTTACAGGTCCAACGTACAGCTATCATAATAAGAGTGAAATATTTCAGACATAACCCAATGTGAGCCGGTAGAGAAAACACGTGAAATTTGTCTGTGATTAAACCTAAGACTCAAAAGAAAATTAAATGGGTTCAGAATTGTCTTTAAGTACTATAAATAAGTATAGCATTTTGGAAAAAGTATACTCTCAACCCTTTAAGAATCTTAAAAGTCGCTTGCTCTAACCACCTTAAGTTATACATAAGAGGACACTAACTCAGGCTAAATGATATATCATTCATATAGCTGCCCACTGGAAAAACTATTGTGACCAGAATCTGGGCCTCCATTCTTAGTTCAGTCACTATCCTGCTACTGATGAAAAGCATAAATGATAGTAGTATAGAAAATTCATTTTCAATTAAGTACCTTTGCCCTAAAATATAATTAGCCTCTGTGTATTGAAAAATTGCTGTACATACCATATCAGTCATCTGTTGCTGTGTAACAAATGACCTAAGGTTTGTTAACACATGTTTGTAACAAACATAATGGCCTAAAATAACCACTGTTTATTGAGCCTATGATCCTGTGGTCAGCAGTTTCGGCTGAGTTCAGCTGGGTGAGTCTTGTTCAGGCTCCTTGATGTAGCTGTAATCATCAAGGTGACTCTGCCTCTGAGCATTAGCTGACTATCAATGGAGTCACCTGGGGAGCAGTTAACCCCAAGTTCAGTAGTTCACTGCCTGTCCACCTGTTATTTCCACGGGATTGCAAGAGGGAGAGTGAAAGCAGGCCCCCTTGAGACTTAGCCTCAACTGTAGAGCTTGTTTCTCTACGTAAAAAGCAAGTCAGGGGATGAAGAAATAGACCCCACTTCTTGGTAGGAAGAACTACCAAGTCCCAATGAAAACTTCATAGATTGAAGGAGAGGTAGAGTGTGTAGCCATTTTCTAAGTCTGCCATATCAGCCTCACACTTTACATAACTCATCTAACTTCCAATGCTACTTACTAGTTAAGGCAAAATCTCTCCTTTACAGATAAGAAAACTGAGATCCAAACTTGTTAGTCAGGGTTAGGCAAGTGACACAGCCATTGAGTGATAGAATCAGCCTTGGATGGGACAGCTCCAAACTACCATGCAGTGCTGCCTCTGCATTCTGCTGCAGTGAACAGCACTGTGTATCACACTGCTCACAGTTTTATGCTAAAATGCTTTAAGAATGTTTATGTGGGGCTCAGCGATTAAGAGCAGTAGATGCATTTACAGAGGACCCAAGTTCAATTCCCAGCACCCACATGGCAGCTAACAACCATACATAACTCTAGTTCCAGAGTATTCTATACCCTCTTCTGACCTCCAGAGGCATTGCACAACACAGATACACTTACAAACATGCAGGCAATATATTCATACACATAAAAAAAAATAAAATTTTGAAAAAATGTGCTAAACGAAAAAAATCA